CATTTTGTAGATTGTAGTTACTTTATAAGTGAAATAACTAGTAATTATTTTACATTTAATTTTAGGAGAATGCGTGGATATTGTTTAATTTTATATTCATCGGTCGACTTCAAAATAATTACTATACTGAATTTTTAAATACTTAAAATCGAAACATTATAAAAAGCATTTTACCGTACACTTTATACTTAGCATTTTGGAAAAGGTTTCCGTTCGAAAATCATTTACGGAATAAATAAAATTAAAAAAAAACACCCGTTATAATTCTAATTTAGATGTTCTTAGAAGTTATATTTGAGCAACTTTTTCCTTAAGATTTGTGTAAGCGGATGAATATAAAGCGCTTTAATACCTTTGTTGAATCCTTTTACGCTTTAAAACCACAAAAGATCTTGCTTTTGTATTTTTGCAATTCAAAAGTCCGCAATTTGTTAATGCATTTATTCATTTAAACAAAACGTAGTCAAGTAACGCGGAATGTTAAACCAACGTTGATAAGAATGTATCTTAGAAGATATGAGTTCTTTTGGAACATTTAGTACTAAATAGACAATTCATTATTTCATGACGTCACCAAACAATGAAAAATAAATAGAAATAAGACCACATATGAAAAGTTACTTATATATTTACAATAAAATTGTTAACTTTTTAGAGCAACGTATAACGCATTAGAAGCGGCTTCAATAAAGATTGCTTTGGATTTGGCTGATAAAGAACATTCCCTCGAAACGGACATTCGAGCATTGGAAATGAGATCCGCCTTAGAACCCAAAAGACTTCAAGGCACTGAGAAGAATTTAGTTCTCGCTAGAGTGAGCGACGAAGTTCCCAAAACGGAAATGTAAACAATTAGAATTGTTGAACGACATTAATTAATTTGGCTTTAACTTTATCATTGTTTTATTAGCTCTTTCAAATTATATTGAGTGAAAGATAAAATGTTCTATTAAATTTTAGAGTCTTTGATGTTTATTACTAGATATTATTTTAAATAGACAAAGTAAAATGGAAGTTCTTGTTTAATTTTGGGGTATACAAAATTTTACTTCTTAATAGTAATAAATGGCCTTGAAGTCTATTACTAATTTAGGTAGACAATCATTACAATCAGTAACAGCGGGGTTAGACAAAGTGCATTCGTTTCGAAGCGATTCCATAGCGAAGTTCAAAATTGTATGGAACTGATACGCGACAATCACGTGACTTATCGAAAGTTATTGTCAGTGGGTCTGTGAATATTTGTGACAATCGCCATCGTATCGTCATCTACAAAATTTGTGCAGCGCCCACTTCACGCACTTTACGCCCTATAGGGCGCCCTATAGACCAAAGATCTCATACTCAGTTTTAACGTAACTGACGATAACGATACGAAGGCATTTGTCGCAAATGTTCGTGATAGGCACACAGTTCTATACATTTTTGAAGTTCGTTATGGAATCGCTTCGTAGCGAATGCATAACGAATGCCGATGCAGATGTTTGAAATAATTTTATCAACACCAAAATATCCTTAGTATTAATAATAGCTCCATCTAGTGAATTACATCAATATAGTTTTACTCTTCTTTCCAGAACTTACTAACTAAAACTATACATCAAGTAATAATCGTAGTTACCCTTAATACATTAACTAAGGTTTAATCAAGATTTATTAGTAAAGTACAGCTCATACAACCCTCTGATTTACTATTCTGAAAACAACAGTAATTTGATGTAAGAGAAATTTAGGTGTTATGTTGCTTAGAAGTGATTGTTGCTGTTTTCTTTCTTTCTCTTTTTATAACGTACTATATGTAAAACTTATTATATGACTACAACATTAAAACACGCGTTTAACTAAAAAGTGTTTGATGTGTTCTTTGTAGTAACCGTGAGTTTCGGAGACCAAGATCTATGTATAAAACATATCGGCGTCCCTGTCATTTATCTTTTACAAAACAGAGATAGCGTGTTTTAAACTGGATTTTTGGTCTCAGAAGCCCACGGTTAGTATTTTATTTCCGTGAATGTCAATTTTTTTGAACACTGGTATAAAATACATTGGTTCTGCTCTGTTTCAAGGAGAATGAGTGGGATGGAAATATGTTTTTGACCAGTTTTTTGCTCCAGCTGTTTCACAATACATTTTTCCAGGCAGAATTCGAAGTAAGCAGAATAATAATTTTCTAAAAATGTTAGGAGGAGCTCGGTATTTGCTGCAGCGATCCACTCATGTAAGCAGATATTGCTGGCAGGCGTTTTTAAAACAAACAATATTAAAAACTATATTGATACCATTTTCGTCTGTAAGCAATAGAAGCGGACTGAAATTACACACCTTGATCAAAACGAACACTCAAAACACTTTGCCAGTTTTCACTGCCAAAAGTACATGAATAAAACATTATACTAATATTATGAATACGAATATTTAGATGGATGGATGTATAGATGTTTGTTTGAAGATACCTCCAAAACCGCTGCATGAATCTCGCTGAAATTTGACATAGATGTAGAACATACACTGGAAAGACACATAGGCTAATTAAGTTTTTTTTTTCTAATTCCGCGCAGATGAAGTTGCGTGCGACAGCTAGTGTTTTATAAGTATGTTTTTATCTCAGAAACTAACGGCTATACTCAGACATACTCAGCTGCGGTTCCTCTGGTATTGCTGATGTCCATGGGCGTCGTTGAACACCTCGGTGTTCACGCTGTTCGTTTGCCCCCTTTCTGTTATAAAAAAATACTGGTTGTTTTTTTCACATCTTAATATTATAGCAAGAAATGTTTAAAAAGAAATATTAAGAAAAAGTTATGTATATTTTCTTTCTCTAACGATGTATCGTTTGTGTAGAGTACGAATTGACTGATAAAAATATGTTCGTTCAATTTACCGAGAACAAATCGAGGAAGCAATTATAAATGCAGGTTCAACATACCCTTCCGATATGCGCGCCATACTTATTTCATAATGTTTATATCGCTAACATTTATAGGCATTCCGTGTGATATTTATAGAACATAATTAACATATTATCTGTGACGCATAAAAGAAAAATATTATATTATATAGTATAGATAACAAGATTGTATTCGAAATTTTGACTACGACGCATCAGAGAATGGACGGGGATTCAATCAGCGGGAAAATTGTTTCGTCTCCTGACCGTCTTTTGACCGGGACAAAACAAAGTTAGCGGCCAACCTTCGACGTTCAAGTAACCGTTGGTTTCTCTCACTAAAATCTCTGTATGAAACATATCGTCATCTCTGTAATTTAGAAAGTCCGACACATTTATTGTCAGGATAAGCAAATTAACTTGCAATTTTCGCTTCTTGTACTAGAAGATGGACACCTAGTGGGGTTTAGTGGGTGAAACCCCACATAACCCTCAGAACCATGGTACCTTGTTAAGATTTTCTGCGAAACAAAAAAAATGTATACTTCGTACATTGATTAAAAAAGCTGGGTTCTACGACTGTCGTCGATAAAAAAAATATGAATACGTTTTGTAATAAAATTGGAAAACATTAAGAAGTAGCGACTTATAATTATGTTCATTTTGTGTAAATCGATTCTCTCGAAACGTGGTAATAAAATTAAGTCAATCCCAGTTCAGGAAATTATATTTAATGTTGTATTTCGATCGTGTTTTCGTGAACATGATTTCATACACGGAAGCCGATCAAACCAGATTGAGAGATCATGCCCGCTTCTGTTTCCGGCAGGATTTTACTTATATTAAATTAGGAAGTATTTCTAACAATGTTTAAATAGATCGTAGAAACATATAAGAAAATCTCTGGGAATTCCCTGATTTTATTTACGTCATATTAACCATTGCGTGTTATGTTCCTTTTTTAAAAAAGGTTTATGAAGAAACGAAGCAATCATTTGTTTATAATACAAGTGGTATAACTACAGGTTATTTACATTTGACTTTTGTCCGGTGCCGCGGAAGTGAGTTCGCCGTTGTTAACACGGTCTATTCTGAACTTAAAATTAATTGTAAACTTAACCAACGCTGATACTCCTTCCTGTTAGCTGATACGTATCGTTAAAATTGTTTTAATATAACTATTTTTAGGGTTCCGTACCACGAAAGGGAAAAAACGGAACCCTTATAGGATCACTTTGTTGTCCGTCCGTCTGTCAAGAACCTATGTTTACGATAATTTTTCTGACAAAAACTTAAAACAACTGAATTTAATTAATAGAGTTATACTCGGGTTTATAAATTGGTATCTTTTTTTTAATCTGTTAGTGTAGAATATATACACAAGTAGACACACATTAGGGTGTCTTAGTGACCACTTAACGCTTCTAAATATGGAAATGAGAAAGGTAAGTCAAGGTAGTGATAGAAGATAACGTTTACTTTCTATTTGTAACTTTAAAGAATAAATCAGAATAACCCTAAAGTATCATCAGTGTACAAGTATTCAGGCGCCTGGGGCTACTTCTGAAGGCTAGCAAGTCTACTTACGCACCAAAGTAACATGTGGACTTAAATCTTATTTTCCTACTTTATTCGGAAATTTTTATGAATGAGTAAACTACATTATAATGTTTCCGTTTAAATTTTATTAAAACAACCAAACATCAAATGAAATTAACTAAATTAAAGACGACGATACGCTTCGTAAGGTGTACAAAATAATGTTAGTTAAATAGATTTCAAAATTGTCCTTCACCGAAAATTTCACTTTTAATGAGTGAAGTGAAATTTTCGTTTTGTAATACAAGTACGATGAAATCATAAAAACTCGCTAATAAAACGACACAACATTCAATTCATTAGCACGTCACGTCGTTAAATTACATAAGTCGTATCTACGTTACGACATACGTACCGTCACCAACTTCCTACTTAGAACTTTCGGGTTTGGTAAAGTTCATACAAATTCGTTTCCTGGGGTGTTCCTGACGCACGAACTATGCAACTCCCCTCCCCTTCCCCTCACAATCACGTATGGACAAGCTGACTGGTTTCATATTTAAACACGTGCTATATACGAACGGTCGTGGTTATAGTATTTTTTTTTAATTTTCCCATCATCGTGAACGAAATCGAAACGTGCGAATGTAGTTCCAGTGCGGTGATAAATATTCATGTCATCTAAATGACAACACTTAGGAATACGGTAAGTGTCATAAAGAAGAGATCGAAATAATTTTCAACTTTATGTCTCAATTAATTTTTAAATTGATAATTTATAACATAACCTCAAGAAACTAAACAATTCCCTTTTTTAATATTATAAGTAAAATCGTAATGTTTTTATCTCTCACAAAGTTCTATCAAGACCCTTTTCCCGACTTAACAGCCTTCACCAAAATGAAGTAAAACTTTCGCATTAAGCCTTTCACACTTAACATGTTAAGTTATATAAACACACTTTAGTTGTTGCTTATTTTATCGTATTATAACTTACATTTATACCCAAAAAAAATAACTTATATCAATAGACGAGACATTAGGAACCAAACTGTACGCTCAAACTCTATTACCGGTAGAGTTTGATTTATTTTGACACTTGTAATAGTAAGCGGTACCTACCATTATGTGTGATGTTTAAAACTAGCTTTCGCCCGCGACTCCGTCTGCGCGAAATTTAAAAAAAACATTACAAGTAGCCTATGTGTGTTCCAGATTATGTTCTACATCAGTGCCAAATTTCAGACATCCATCCATCCATCCAAACATTACCATTTATAATATTAGTAATATATGTAAATGAAAATTCACGTAATTTCCCCTCTATGACAGTATGTTTGAACCTCTTAGACTTAGCCACGTAAATGTTTGGAACCCATTTTGGTTAGTATGCAATAATTGAGTCCTTTGTAAGCTCTTTAGTATAATAATTAAAGGGCGTTATATTCTAAGCACCAGTAGATTTAGATTGGGTTGGTACTTTGTAGTTACGTAATTGTTCTGTTTCAAACCATAACAATTAACTAACCTGTAATTTCATAGATATAATAAAAATATTTATTAGATATGGACATGCAATTAACCGTGGATTTCCACTGTTGAATATGATTCACTCCTGTTTATTTTTTTTTACAAAAAGAGGGTTATTTTTTATACTAGTATTTTGGTAGTTACAAACTATAGTACTGTGGACCAGTAATCTTTTTCCCAAAAATCTTAGAAAATGAAAAAAAAATATTAGTGATTTTCTAAGTGCTGTAATGTAAGTACATTTAGTATCTGTAGTAAAAGATAAATGTATCAAACATGCAAACTTTTCAGTAGTAACAGCTCTATATCCAATTAAACTATCTAGGATCTATTTTGCAATTTCCAATTAAGTGCTGAATAAGTTACTTGATGATTATTTATCAATATAAATAAGTATCAAGTTTTTTAAATAATAATGTGGCAAACGAGCGAGTGGCCACCTGAAATCACTTAAATAGCGAAGTGACCGTTGCCCATAAACATACGCAATTGCATATGCGTTGCATACCTTTAATCTACGAAGGAGAGGATGCACAGAAAGAAAAAATTTTCTCTTTCCATGCATCCTCTCATCCGGAAAGTCCACTTCCATTTCCCAACCCTTCATAAGAAAACGGGTGGGAAGGGATAGAGGACTAAATTAGGCCTCCGGGACAATATTTTGACGGGAAGTATTATGTTAGTTTATTTATTTTTTAGTTATCCAGCAGTTTATTTACACATTGGTAATCATGCATTAAATAAAATTTACTGAATGCAAGAAACTTTTTAATATCAATATTGTTTTTTTTTAGAATTTGAAATAATGGTGGTGCAGCGAAATTTTATTACCGTTCTATCATTAATGATGCTGGCTACAACATTGAGAAAAGCTAAAGGAAGTCCCGCTATTGGTAAGTAGTTTTTATAATCTATATATTTAGGCTCTCAGATGTGTCTTACTGGGTATATATAATTTCTTTACAACTTTAAAAACATCTCAAAATGTTCTCTGTTTCTTCTACGTGATATGATGATATATTATTCTACGTAAGTCGGTTTAGTTACAGTTAAGTGCGTTTGCTTAGTAACCACCCAAGCTGTTAGGAATCGTTTCCAAAAATGACCGATTGAAAGTAAAAATTATGTTCACCAAAACAACGTTATACGGTAATATTTTTTAATTAAATGTCGAGAAAAATAAATATTGTTGCGGAACTACAAAGTTTCGCTAATTGGCAAGATTCTTTTACAGTTTTTTTTTCAACTTTTCATTATTTTAATTTGACAAAAAGACGACAAAGGAAAAGCTCTCTGCATTTTATCCTTTATACGAATATGCGTTGCAATGAGTAATAATAAATAACATCAAAAGTCTACACAATTAAATGTCACAGAGCATGCGAAAAATTTCATTAAAATGGAATTAATGAGGAAACATTGAAAGGTCGATTTTCCGGAGGAGAGAATGCGTAGGAAGGGGGGTAACTTTTTTCTGCGCACCTCCTGTGTCTTTTAAAGGTAGGGAACGCATCAGTTAATACGAAATAATAATTGAATTCGCTGTTTACTCGTTGGTCGCCTTATAAAAAACAATTATAAAAAATTAGTTTACCGAAATACAATAGTAACTATACTTTATCATCAGCTCACTATAGCTCCTCACCGAGGGGTTCGGAGCCTATCCTAAGTTAAGGGTGATTAGGCCCCAACCACGCTGGCCCAGTGCGGGTTGACTTCACACACATCTTTGAATTTCTTCTTAGATATGGTTGCATCACGATGTTTTCCTTCGCCGTAAGAACGTCGGATTAATGTACATATGTAAATTGGAAATCAAAAAACACATTAGTACATGGCGGGATTCGAACTCAGGACCTGCAGATAGCATGTCAAGTGCTTAACCCCTGAGCCACTGACACTCATCTAGTCTATATAGTAACTATAATGATGTCTAATGTCTATGAAAAGAAAGCTTAATAAATATTTTTTATTCTGGCTTTATTATGATATTCACGAATCTCACTATATACTTAAATTAGAGCCTAAAAGCCGAATAATGTACGCTTTGAGGCGCACTGAATTATTAATTTATTCATAGCTTTAACACAAAAACTTTCTTAGCGAATCCATTATCTTTTATGAGTATATGAGCGATAAACATTATGACTAAAATACGACATTTTTCCCTATTATTAAAGATAATAATAGGAACGACGATATGTTTTATATAGACATTTTGGTCTCAGTAACCCACGGTAAGTCAATCAATAAAAAACGTAAAAAATAAAATCGCTTTTAACTCTATACAATTTCCTTTTAGAGATTAGTTTATGTCACTAATTTACGCTTGGGCCTAGTAATTCATCTCACAGGGTATCGCCCTAGTTTGGACACTAGTCCCGGTTCCATAGAGGAAAAATAATTAAGTTATTTTTTTACGTTTTTTTATTTGCCATCAGATAAAATATTTTTAAATGTATTTACCTTTTTTTTCTAGAATACCATTAATTTAATTAAACCAGAATTAAACTTAACATTTCCAGTTTTACGTTGTAACATAAACATCGGTGCCAAAAGTAATGCCGTACAAAACTTTGCACATCTACTAGCTGGTACATTGCCAACCACTTATAAAATTGCTGGCTAAACATTTGCAGGAAAGTCCTATCTAATCGATGACACAATGCGTCTTAACTGAAACTTTAGTCTTATTTACATAGCACATAGTGCAAAAGCTTTATTACAGATGAATTGTGAATCTCCTATTTTTAAAGACGGTCCAAGAAAACTTTTAATTTGTTTTTTGTATTTCAAAATATGTGTTCGCAGTATGAGCTTCTAATTCTTCTAATATTCACGAAAATTGAACTTCAAAACTTTAAAGCCACTTTTTTATATCATTAGGTGGCAAACGAGCGAGCGGACACTTGAAATCGCTGAAATAGCGAAGTGACTGTTGCCCATAGACATACGCAATTGCATATGCGTTGCCTAACTTAATAATAGATTAATTTATACAGCGTATATATTTATATTATATATTTAAAGATCTTATAAAGTTTAGTAAAAATTAATTCAAATTATAAACGCATATGCAAATTTAATTCACAAACAGTTAAGCACATGTTGATATTTAACCCACGTGTTTTCTTTAAGGACATGGTTCTTCACAAATAATACGAATTGCAAAAGCGTCTATATTTAGAGATCCTTATACATAAACCCCTGGGGAGTATCGAAATTAAAATCTAATTCTGCAGATAATATTAAAAAATAACGGTCAGTAGTTACTTACAAGTAAATTATAAATCTTAAAAATTTATGTTTTCATTTATAAAAAATACTTGTCGTTTTAACAAATGTATGTACGGAACCTAACTAAAACTTTCCAGTTGGCACGCTTTGGCCGTACAACTAACACCGCGATGAGGCTCTCGTGCGAATCGAGGCAATGACCCCAATCCGCGAATTGGCCGGTTTACTTTCGCTGAGGCGATTCGTTACGCAATTTCATCGTATCTACTTACACTTGACCTCGCGCGTCATTTGATTTAATCAAATATGTTAATCGCCTTGTATTCTGATGCCTATGAGTCTTGTTATTGTTTATTTTACGTTTAACATGTAGTCAATATTTAAAACAAGTTTGGTTTGTTTTTTACTTTGCCTAATAAAATGTTGTTTATTACGTTGTATTGAGTTTGTAGTAAATAATATTCAGGTTTGTGGTAATTTTTGTTGTTATGAAAACTATTTTTGTAAGTTAAACTTATAAAGTAGCTTATAGTAAAGCATATTCATGCAATTTATACTTTTTCTACCATAATTTTTACCTGAGATTGTACTTTTTAATTTTATACTACATACAAAATCGATTTATTTTTGAAGAAAACGATAATATAATATACCTTAGGTTTATTTACATTGCCCAATTAGATTACATAGCTTAAATAATTTTGGCTTGTCACAAATTGTACCAAAAGAAAAATACCGTTTAAAAACATCCAGGCAAATATAAGTTATCCAATTTCTAGATTAATTCTAGACATATGATGTATTAATTCATCTGGAAAAAGTTCAACTGTGCAAATACATATTTCGTCAACAAAACCGTCTCTTGCCAAATAACTTAGTTTAATAATCTTTTACTCGTGCACCTTTGATAACTGATTTGTAAGTTCGTAACGAATTGAATGTAAGATATTATTTTGGTGCCTTTTACCTTTAAGTTACTCTTATGTAATGTTACCAATTAACTTAAACATTACTTTATATATATGTTACATAATACATGGTCATATTGTATGTGTTGGGTAAGATTGTCACCTACTTTCTACTACTATCACTTGATTATTTTTTTTTGTATCAGACGAAAAATTGGTCTTTTATTCTCAAAAGACTTTGATTAATATTTATTTAAGTTTCAAAGTAACCATTATTTTATACAGAAGAATTGTTTGGAACGATTCCTGCCGCCGCGTTCCGTCATTGGACGACACGACAGACCGCCAGGTTCCATCCACACCACTTGGATGGCTGGCATTCCACAACGGTGCGATTCTGGCGCAACTTCTTGCCTCGCACATCCGCGTTGTGGAACGGTCTGTCCTCGGCGGTATTTCCAAGCCAATACGACTTAGGGTCCTTCAAGAAGCGAGCCTATCACCACCTCAAAGGCCGGCAACGCATCTGCGGTTCCTCTGGTATTGCTGATGTCCATGGGCGTCGTTGAACACCTCGGTGTTCCCGCTGCTCGTTTGCCTCCTTCTGTTATAAAAAAAATACAGTTAAATACGAGTTAAAATATGTTATGCCTGTTTTCCTGATTGGTTAGGATGAGATTCTGTTTTTCTTTTTACTAAACTGCTAAAATTTTGTTTCACCTCGTTTGACGATAACAACGATAAAAATAAACAAGCTGTATTGGAATAAGCTGTGATATTTTTCATGCGGTTTTAAAGCCTTTAAAAAGGTGACATAAAGACTAACATTTTTGTTTTATTCATATTTTTTTAGTTTTCTTAAGTTAGTTTGGTGTTTGAAAAGCGCAATAGGTCATAACTGTTCTTTGAATGAACTCTATCGATGATGCAAGATAAAATAAAGTTGCAAAAAACAAACATATTGTTAAAGAATTTTGATTTAAATTAGAATTCAAAATTCATTTTATAAACCTATAACAGCTAAATCTAGGTTTATACTAGAGTTCGACCGGACTCGAACAGTCTGACCTTGCCTTCACCTTAATTTACGAAATACAAACGTGAAATACCTAGATATACTAACGTGGTAGCGCTTAATAAGGATTTAACGACACCTTCTAAAACCAAGGCGGTTAACTTTACTAGATTGAATTTTGAACACAAGTATTATCGTGCAGGTAACAATTTAGTTATCGAGAGTGTAATCAGTTGAAATATTTAATTAAAAAACCTATCTTTGTCTCTCACATAATCTTTGTAAAAGTAGAGATAGCAACATATTTTCATAGGTGTTTCTAATCTTACTAATATTATAAATGCGAAAGTTTAGAAGCATGGATGTTTGTTAGAAGATATCTCGAGAATGGCTTCATGGATCTCACTGAAATTTGGCATAGATGTGGAACGTAGTCCGGAAGTATACATAGGCTGCTATTTTTTTTAATTCCGCACGGACGGAGTGGCGCTCAACTGCTAGTCATAAATATATCGTGAAATATCCGAGTTTGTGAACTATTAAAATACTGTATTAAATTTAGATTCCTCTAATGGTAAAATTATTGCATACTTTGCACATTTATTGGTATTCTATTGGAAACTTAATCGTATTAATAATAGTCTTAAGTCATATTGTTATATTCTTAACTAATGGACTAATAATAACGAGAAACTGCCGGTTTATCATCACTTAAATGTCAGATTTGCGCTAGAACATTAAGATCTTAATGTATTCTATTACTAGAATATACCACGAGCCCTGGTTTGTGACGTTATGTAAATGTGTTTAGTAAATAATAGTCAACCTCCGCATAAAGAATGTTTTGATTCGAGCATTTCCTCTGCCGTATCTCTTCCTTATACGCTTTGAGAAAACCTAGATTGTTCTATATCGTTCATGTTACTGTTTGAATATAATGCATCCAGCATTTCATAATAATGAATAGACAACATTTTATCTATCATCAAGAGTTTTCAATTGCATTTCTTTATAACTTTATACCTTTTGAATTATTAAAATCTAATTTTATTTTATTTTTCGAAAGTGTATAAATACAAGTGTCGCAATATTGCTAAGTGCACTTTTAAAGTACAATAATAAAAATTTTATGATGCTGTTTCCAATATTAATATTAAATGTCAGTGTATCTGCCGATCTTACTTCTGATCAATCGGCCCAGTGGGATTTTTTCCTATTGGCTAATTGATCGGCTGGTCAATCGGCCGAACGAGATACATTTTCTATCCGATAATCGAACGAATACAAAGAATCAAAAACAATAGGCTGTTCGATTGATTGGATCGGTCCAATGAGACAAAAATCGTATTTTGTCGATTAGCGATAGGCCAATCGGCTTAAAGGGAAGCACCCCGAAATTCTATAATAATTTGAATATATTACTTAATAAAAATCATTGTGGATTTCCACTGTTGCTAACTCGCCCATCCTCTTTGAAGAAAGCAAAGGTAATAACATATTTTAATATGTTAGGGCTGTGCAATTTCTTATTAACATGTTTTACAAACATTTTTTTATTCACTCCAAAGAATGAAGTAGCAATTTGTTTACATATCAACGATTTTACTCTCAAGAGTTATACTACTTTTGTTCAGGTTTTATTTTAGAAGCGTCATAATATTAAGCCAGTTTATAGTTATTCACATTTTTGAGACTTCCGCAATAATGTCACACATGTCGCGTTAATATATTTCTTAATTAACTCAGCAAATTTATCTAGGAAATTCAGTAAAGTGTAAAATGTGTAACGTGAAAGTAGAAAGTTAATTGTTAACATTTATAAGTATCTGGGCATGGAGTAAAGCCTACTGGGAGTTAAAATCAGCATTATTTCTCATAAATAAAGAAATAAGTTAAATGTACATTATAAGGCCCTTCATACACAAGGCAAGGTAAATCGTCGAAATTAATATTGCACGATTGCGTTGCGAGAAGTAACGATTCAACGTTGCACACATTTCGTCGACGCAAGTCGTCGGAATACGAGTAGCCGACTAACCGCATGGTCTGAAGACTGTAAAAGCATATCGACTACATGTCAACTGTAGCTCCGCCATCTTGAAAATTGTAATGAGTCCTATGTAGCAGCATTTAGGTAATATTTGTGAAAATTTTCTCATATTTTATGATATCTTCTGTCATATAATTCTACTTCCTTTTTACATTTAACTTATTTATTAAACCAGAAATGTGGCTATAATTTAAGCTCCATTTATGTCTGATTAATATTTAAATACAATGCTAAACAACAGCGAATCACAAACAGTAAACAGACGTTGGAATAAACAAGACAACGAAGTGCTCGCAGCTTATATTAATGTTTGCTAGGTTAACATCTGCAAGCTAAAATTAAGTGACTTCATCCCGCTTTCACCAAAACATACGTATCTTAGTCTTAGCCTTTAGTCTTAGTTGAATCTGTGTCAGTGCTAGGGGCATGTTAAACATAGTTAGTTTAATATTATTTTCATAGAAAAGGTAAATTAATTTTCAACTCATTTTTACTTCACTATCTAATAAAAGAAGCAAATTTTTGACTTTTACTCAATACACTAAAGAGAATGTTATTCTTATATGTATGTTTGAATGTATGTCGATTACATTGTAAAATCCTATAGGATTACACGACTACAGCCTAAAGGTACGCGTCCACATAGCCCGCTACGGATTACGGATACGCAAAGAAAACTAAAGTCCGTTGCGAGCCGTGGGTGCGATGCGTCCAGCGCAGACTAATGGAAGCGTACCTTAAACCATTGAACCGATTTTGAACGAAGTGAGGTGTCATTCAATTTGTATTGTCTCCCTCAGTTTCAAAGAGGAACAGTGTACAGCATGTTTTTTTTAATTAACGAAATATCATGTTCCAAAATACAATATCAAATATTTTTCATACGTAACAAGACTAAATCATTGTTATGTTACATATATCATATTTTAGCGGTTGAAAACGATGTTACGCAGAATTGTCGAATTATTTTTAGAGATAACAACTACTGAAACATTCGCATGTAACGAAAATAATGTTTTCAGAATAAAGTCAATTTGGAAATTTTCTTTTCATGGTGAAACCGATATCAGATTTAACTCTTAAATATGCTACATTATCAAAAAATATTAAATAGACCCAGATATGTAAATGGTCTGAAATTTTATGTCCTAAATAATATTTGTGTAAACGAAAATTTTAATATATTTTTATTTAAGTATACTAAAACACGGCGAAGGAAATTAGGTCGTAAATCTTTTATAGGCGCTTTAGGAAGTTAGACCTTAACTCAGTTAATGTTAACACAAGGCTAATCTTTGTTTTCTGAACCCAAAATCCCTGATAATGAGAGAGATGACTATATTTCTTTTTTTATAATAGAAGAGTTCAAAAAATGGTGGAAAGAACAACATCCATAGACATCCATAAGATCAGAGGAACTACAGATAGGTTTAAACTGGGATTTGGTCTTAGAAACCAACGATAAATTAACTAAAAAAAAGCCTTCATATGCAGCTGCAATGTATCGATTTACCGTGGCGTGGGCTTTCATTGTTTAAATAGTTGTACAAAAAATATCGTTTCTCTCTTTTTCCAAAAAGAATAAAAAGGACGACTATATGTTTACATGTGTCTGTCATGAAAACCAACGGTTATACGTTCACAAAGTTTCGCTCGTTTTACATTTTGCTAGGCCCAGCAGGTTAATCAAAATTAAGTCCGCTTTAACTGTCTTGTCCCTCAGCTTATCTTTGCAAATTATTGCCGACCCTGGATTTAACTGTAATGTACCTAAACACTAACAACATTACGAACATCTGTTTAAAAAAGTAATGGATGAAAAACAAGGCTTTATTTTTACATTTGTTCTAATTAAAAGCTTACTTAAATGGATACTATTTGTGGAATAAAAAATGAGTTATTTAAACGTTGCAGAGAAAACTAGTAAATTTTAAATAAGTTTCTCTAAAAAATAAATTAAAAGTAGGAGCTTGATTCTCTCAGAAAGACTTTTATACTTCGATGGATGTTTCAACAAAAACCACAGTAAGAAAGCGTAAAACAACATAATATATAAGTTAAAATTGTATTGAGCTATCAGATTTCTTGTTTGACATAGATTTATCCAAACACAGAATTAAAAGAACTTTAAATAATAACTTTTAGACATTATTAGTTAGAATCCTTTGGCGCGAATGGCGCGCTTCCGTTACAAAGTCAAGTGACAGATTGATTAGTGAGGGGACATAAACGTTGACATTTTAATAAGGCTAGTGTTGCGACGATACACCGGCACAGTGTCGGATTTCCTTTCTAATACCTAATGTTTTTTTCTTCAGCAACCGGTTACGACACAATGGACATCTGCATAGAAAATTGTGCCCAATGCAAGAAGATGCTAGGCAGCTGGTTTGAAGGTCAGCTGTGTGCGGAATCTTGCATCAAGTATAAAGGGAAATTGATCGTCGAATGTGAAGACTTTGCGTCCATCTCACCTTTTCTTAACAAAGTCGCAAGGTTACCTGGTAAAAGAGGTTAGATTACGCTAATTATGTTCACTTAACCCCATAGTGCAGAATTTTTATCCTAATGGTGCACTAAGGATCTGCTTAAGTGATTATTAAACGACTGATTGCGGTTGTAAGATTAATTTAAGTTATTCAGAAAGTACTAGTCATAGTGCAAAAGAATACAAAAATGTGTTAAAACAAAAACTCTAAATCGAAACACTATATACTTATGAGGAATGAATCTTTTTAGAATTACTTCAATGTTTGTTTTTTAAATGTATTGTAAATTAGTTATGATGTTAATATTTTGTATTATATTTGATAAACAATCCCGATAAGGGACATAGTTAAAACAAAAAATATTTTTAATTAATAATAGCGCCATCTAGTAGAGAAATGAAAAACTCGAGCGGTATTGCCAGTTGTAATATCAAATAGTTGTAAGTTTTATTTTAAGAAAATGCAAGTACAATAAATAATTTTGTGCAATAAGTTGAAAATACTGACGAATGAAATGTTGCTCATTCTTTATTATATTGTTAATTATGAATTTTATTGTTTATTTTTGTTAAAATCTATTGTAATGGGTGCCGACAGAAAATCTCGCCTTCTTTAGTATTAAGGGCACTGTTATTAATGTTACATAAGTCTATATACCGTCTATGTATTTACACCTCGATGTGCCAAAGTACTTAATACACTTTATGATTATGTTGTTTGTTTATGTTTTAAACATAATCTTGTATTTAAGTATTACAGGGTATAATGTAATTAAAATGTTACAAGGGAATAAAAAACATTTTCGTACCTTTTTATTTTTTTTAATCTTAAGAATACAATTAAGTTAATTGTAGAAATTAAAAATGTCCTTGCTTACTTAATTAACAATTATTAGTTTATTTATCAATCCATAAATGATTTTTATTATGAATTATCATCATATAAAAATAATTATCAATCGATATTTTCAAGATATATAACTAAAGGTCAGTTAACAGGAACTTCGATAGAGGGCGCCTCCAGTTCTGCTGCAGGTTCCTCAGACGGATTCTCAACTGTAGATGGCGTGTCTGAAATATTAATATGCATACATAAATATAAATATTGAATCATTCTTATATCACTATCTTTGGCCCGCGACTCCATCCAGGCGGAATTAAAAAAGTAATGTTTTCTTGCAGACTATGTTCTACATCTATGCCAAATTGCATCGTGATCCGTTGAGCCATTCTGGAGATACGTTCAAACATTCATCCATTTTTCCATCTTTGTAAACATTCTCATTTATAATATTAGTAAGATATATAAGCTAGATTAATTTAGACACAGAGAAAAAAAATTGTTACTTTTACTATATACCTAACATTATATACTATATATATATATATACTCTTAATGTACATTTGGTATTAACACTTAGATGTTACACTATAACTTACCTGAAGGGGTTTCAATAGAACTTTGACTAGCACTCTCTTGTGAATCCATTGGTGTGTCATTTGACACACTAACTGGTGGAGGACGCTGGAATAAAAAAAAAATATTATACTACAGAATTTCTTCTCAGATATGTTCAGGTTCATGTCATGATGTTTTCCCTTACCATAAAAACGTCAGATATACGAACATTCATATGTAAATCAAAGATTGAGAAACAAATTAACACAGCGGGATTCAAACCCAGGACCAGCAGATTACAAACTCTTGAGCCATCAACTTGAGAAATTTTTTGGTATGTTGGTTTAAAAAGTTATAAATTCATTTGGAATGGGACAAACAATAAAATAACACACCTCTGGTGCTGTCCGAGGAACTTTTGGCACTGGATGTCGTACACTGAATGGAACACAAGAACTGTAATACTGGATCACAAAGTCAGGGAACGCCTCGCCTAAAGCATGGCCCGGTACCACATCTAACTCCATACAACCTTCCCTGTAAAGTAAAATAACGTACAGTCAGCTACATAAATATAAACAAAGCTTCACAAACTTGTACAGGTTTAAATATAACACGAATTTTTATGCTTCTGTCCATGAGTAAATGTTCTTGACATACACATTGTTTTTGAAACCAAAAGCCAAACTAACTAAAAATGTTTTTAAAAAGGTTGTGCAATTTAAACTGAATGTTTATAAAAATAATATGTTACAAACTTACCATTTAACTAAGAAATAAAGTGTTCCATGGAAAAGTTGACCGGCAACAATTTTTTCTGGTGCCAATCCTCTATTAAGACCTCTTGGTTTTTCAACTTCCTAAAAATCAAACATATGCATTTAATTAAGATTACTTTTCTAAAATAAAGCTTACACACTAAAGTATTGAAGTCAAATACTAATTGTATAAAATTATATATACTACTAAATAAATCAACTTTATAAAATTGTACTTTATACACAACCATATGACATTGCAAATAACCATATTGTGACACAAATAAGATGAATTTTACTTAAAAATAATAATATATCCATAAATATTTAACATAAACACATTTGTTTTATTTGCTGTTTCAAAGCCATAAGTACTAAGAGTATTGCAAAAGTAATTAAGTATTGCAAATTAAAAAATTAACTAAGAATCTCACTTCAATCTTCTTTTTCTTGTCAGCTCTGCGGGAACGTTTTCTTGTAGGTGTTTCTTCAACAGACTCTGTCACATTTGGTATTGCCTCTCGTTCTTTTTTCAGCCTGGCTTCTTCGTACGCGGAAATAAGTTCAGGACAGTCTAGATTGTCTTCTGGCTCCCAGGTATTATCTTCACTGAAAAAGTTTATTTATGTTAATTATTAACATAATATATTTGAACCTGGATAATCAAGAAACCTCTATAAGTGAGAAACACTGTGTTCCCACTGTGTTTGACTCTGCTTTATCTGGGTGTTTATGGTTGACATTAGTTTCATTTGTGAGTTTTAACACATTAAAAGCACTTGTTTAAAGTTTAATTAAAACTAAGAGCACCATTTAGTTAGCATTAACAATTCACTTCTACATTATTTTAGCTTGACTGATGAGAGTAATGTTATTCTAATTTTATTGCCAAACTTATATTTTCTGCAGTTAATTAAGTACATTGATATTAATATCATATACATACTCAGAATAACCTTTCCATTTTAGTAGAAATTCTACTTTTCCATTTTTAATTCTTCTATCTAGGACTTTTTCGACTGAGAATTCTTCATGTTTTCCCGACTGTGGACCACCAGGGGCTGTTGTTGGCACAACATTTGGTATTGTTTCACTGTCTGTTTCCATTTGATGACTTGTTGGTATAACAGAGTCACTGCCAGTAAAGTCAGTTTGTGGTAATTCCATTACTGGATCCATTTGATTGAGAATCTGAAAATGTAAGTTTTGTGGTTATTGTAGAAGAAAACCCTGACAAATCATAAATATTAATTTAGCTTATAAGAAAACAGTTAATTGATTTGTAGAATAGTTTAATAGTTTGTCAATTATCAATACTGTAAAGAGGATAATGTGCCTTCATTGCTTTTAGAATTAAAACTCTAGTTTAACCAAGTCTATAGTTGTTACATACCTGATAATATTATTTTAATTCCAATTTTTTCAGCTGAGATTAAATAAAATCTTGTTTTTGTCTTCTTATTGAAGAGTAAATAAATAATAATTAGTTCTCTATTTAATATAGTATAGTTTCACAGTCAGTCGTAACAGAAAATATGTAAACTTAAATTAAAAACAACAATATGATAATTCTTGACAGCGTCATATTTTAACCAATGAGCAGTATGGCTTAATGTTGTCATTTTCACAATTTCGAAATTCCATAAATATTTCACGCATGTCATAATGATATGAAGGTTAATTGCTTTGGTTAATTGGCTAATATGTTTGTATGTATTAATTTAAATAGGAAGAAATTACTACAAGAACTCAGGTTACAAGTTACAAATAGCTTGGAGTTCAAACATAAAGACTTTCGAAATGAGAAATGTCATTTTTGCTTATTGGGAACTCTTATACTGTTTGATTGGTAGCCCTCAGATCTTTAGATGACTATGAGTTTGTTCAATATTCACAGGGGTAATACCTACTTGGGCACCTCTAGTTATCTCTAGGGATTATATTTCAGGGTAAATTGGTAGATTGACTTATCCATCAGCTTCACAGGCTTCACACGTGGTGCTGCATTCTTAATTTCTTAATCTATGTTTTATCTATGCTATCTTTGACAGATGACAGTGACAGCCAACTTTGTCAATGTCAGTCAGTACTGTGTTGAATTCTTGATATTTGTTTTTATTTGAAGTTGTAGTATGGTTTTGTATACTTTTAGGTTATCATATTAAATAATCTTGTTAGTCAAGTACTAAAGTTATTTAATCATACACATACTTCATCTAAAAGGAAAAATTTAAAGTACTGGTTTTCCAGAATTTTTTAAAATGACTGAATCTGGACCATTTTCAACAAGTACAGCATTTTGTGCCAGATGTGGATCTATATTGCCTCTACTTCAAGAATTTGGTTCCGTAAGATGTTACGCTTGTAAAGGGATTTATGATGCTGAAAGTAAGTTCTATGTTTGTAAAGGAATGATAATACAAAAAAAAAAAATAAACCGGCGACTCTTTTGTGCTGGTAAACAAAATAAAAAAAATTGCCTAATCTTATAAGTATTTTAAAATTGGTTAACAGTTCACTTTATAAAATTATTATAGAAAAAGGAATGTAGCTTATTGTGTCATTTCTTTATAATTATTGAATTTTATACCATGTATATTTTTGTAAACCAATTAACCAAGAATTTTCCCTTCTAGATTTTAGCAATTTAAAGTTCAAATACACAGTTAACTTTAACACAGTATCAGTTGTGACTCATGAGAAAATGTTGAACAGAGATGATCCAGAAGGGCCTGTAGTTGAGAGAAAATGTCCTAAATGTGGTAATGATAGAATGTCATATGCTACATTACAGCTACGCTCAGCCGATGAAGGACAAACTGTATTTTACACCTGTGTGGTTTGCAAGTAAGTAATAGAAATGTTACCTTAATTCCTTTAATAGAGTTGACATTCCATTTTCTTAGACAAAACATAGTGTTTCTTGTACCTATCTACATACAATGTGTATGTACAGAACTTGCAGCAGTTGAATTCTAGTCACTTTAGAGTGCGAAATTATGTGGTTAATTTTTTTTATTTTGTGTACAGTCAGCTGTATAAATAAGTATAGATTTAAAAAGCTTCAAAAACTTGTATTTTCTTTACTTACAAAAATAATAATTTGTGTACAGATATCCATCTGTATATACACTTCTGACCATACATACTTTTGAAATTGAAGACCTATGCAAGTTTCTGCAATTGTGTAAATGGATTAATCAACATTTTGGTGTTTTTTCAAAACAGTCTTCTTTTATAGCTACTTGATTTTAAAATACAGCTGTAAGAAAATTTTATGTTTAAAAAAATTATGAAAATTAATTGAGGCGAAATGTTAATTCATTGTTTTTTTTTTCAGGTACAAAGAAACTGAGAACTCATGATTTGTAAGAAGTATATTTCTGACTTATGTAAATAAATATAGCTTTATGATATTGTTTTGTTTTTTTATTTATTTTCTATACATCTGTTAATCTTACTAACAATTACAGTAATTTATCTCCAAGATCCAAGACAAAATCTTGTACAAAATCCATTTACATTTTCAGCTGATTTGAAGTTACATTTTTTTAACAATCAGTAGTATCCATCAATTCAAGAAGCGAGCATATCATCATGTCAAAGGCCGGCAACGCATCTGCGGTTCCTCTGGTATTGCTCATGTCCATGGGCGTCGGTGAACACCTCGGCGTTCCCGCTGCACGTTTTGACTCCTGTTATAAAAACATCAATATTTTCAATTTGTAATAGTAAGATCTAGATGTGTATCTGATTTCAGAAGTTTTCATACTTGACCTTGTAATAACCAATATCTCAACCATTGCTTCATAACTGTAAAATTCTTCAACCCAAGCTTTTTTTTTAAATCAATATCTAAAAATAAACATTCAAATGTACTTCCATTAGCAACTGTATCAGCAAACATTTAATTGTAAATATCTTATGGCCTACTTTATTATCGACAAAAGAGCTTGTTAAGCAACACTATTTCTTATCAGCTAACCCCGGCCCATTTTATGAATAAAGACTCTATGCCGTATGCAATTCGGTAACTAATAGTAAAGCAATATTATACAATTGTCAGGTTGTATTGTTCGTTATATTAAAAGGAAGCCGGCAACAGATCGGTTCATTCACAAGACGCAGGTGAAAACATCACGGTTTAGATTTGACACGGGCTACCGCAAAGATTGTAATTTTGTGTACGTAGTAGAAAGCTAGAGATATATCAAAGCGCTATATCCGTGTGTATGACAGAGATATAATATAATTTCATCATCGAAAGTTGTAGCATCGAAAACCGTAATTAATTTGATCAGTAGATATAAGTACTATATGCATATACTACTGTGCAATGTACGTTCCGAGTGAAGTCCATGTATCCATTTTTATCATCGATAAGTGATAACTTTTATTACTTACGGATATGAAGATGTTAGAAGCTAGTTTTTTTATCTTTTATAATTTCCCAAACCAATAAAATCACAATCCCCATGAATACGGAGTTACCTAAGCTTATGGGAAAAATAGCTTGCCAACGACTTGCTTATATAGGTCTTATTTCAAGTACTGTAGATTAAGATTTGCGACATTGGTTATATAAATAAACTCTTAGCTATAACACCTATATAGTACTTACGACAAAGAATTATAATTAAAATAATTATTATAGGTGTGTTACCTAAAATTCAAATTACTATTCAATAACGTTAGGTGTGTTTTTAACTTTTAATATAATGTCAAAGGTTGATCAAGACCAAAGAAAGTGTGGATGGAATGATTAAGAAGATGATATATGTCAAAATGATAGTTAATCTAAATGCATGGAAAAGTTAATTACTGTGCCGACCCTCCTTAAGGAAAAGGGAAGGAAGATGCTGTGAAATGTGTAAGGTTTTCGATATCGATATTTTTCAGTGACAACACTATGCGTGGGGGGAGGCGGCAGGTGCCAGGCAGACGCGGCGGCGCGCCAGTCTCTCGCGACCGTCGCTCTGATTGCACGTCGCGCTCACACAACCTCATTATCGACACGTGCGGCGCAACACTATTTTGTTGTTCTTAACATATACAGCCTACAATTAAATGTGTTCTGTGAACTTGTGGGGTAGTCGAATTCTATAGATTCCCGACTAGGTAAGTAAACGTTTAAATTAATAATATCGCTATTTGGGTTATGTTTTGGTTTAAGGTGTGATACGAAAGATTTATACGACTTTTATAACACTATATTATAATAAACAACGGTAAAACGTTCATTTAAAAATTAAATTATGTATGTCAGCGAACCACTTTTCTCATTCAAACGTTATAAGTGTGTCGAAATTCAATATCACAGCTAGAAATTCGGAATGAGAATGTATCAATTATCAAGAAGACTTCTCTTCACAATGGTATAGTGTTACGATTGTAGAAAAGCTATGAGTTGGTGGTACATGATCTGTTAGTACATAAGACATCAACGCGCACACTGAAAGTGTCGGTAGCATAGGTTTCTCAGAGCTTTTTTACGTTATGTGTTGAATTTGGGTATTAATCATGACTTGCTAGTTATTGTCTTTTATTAACATATTCTCAAAGATTACTTGATAAGATAAAATGACACTGTGAAAGTTTTTACACGAATAAGGAACCAAAGTTGTTCAATGATTTTAATTTTGTTTCGTAATAGTATATTGAAGAAAAATCTGAGTTTGAATTTTATTTACTTTAGAATACTTACAATTTTTTTTAAGAAAATGAAATTACTTTTCAAATTCTACTTCCAGTTACCTGAAACTTACTGAGCATGGACAATAAATCAATACAAATTGAGTCAATAACCATCTTATCATTATGACCGGCTTTTGTTATATACTATTAATTTATTCGACGCAGATATAAAATAATTCTACATGTGCTAATATGTTAAAATCTTAATATACGTGAACCTGCTTACATAGTTATCATTATTGCGTTGTAGTTCAAACAACCAGTTTAGAGTACGTTCATTAAACGATAACGACGTAAGTTCGAATCGATTAAACTTTGATTTGGTAGCTTTTCTTAAGTAACCGGAAGTTTCAGTTCTAAGTTACATTTACAAAACTATGTAACATCCTGTGATGCTCAGCCCAAGAACGTCCATCAGTCGTAAAATATTTTTTTAAGTTAATGTATATTTTTATTAGAAATACGCTTTCTTAATTTTATATGCAAAACCGTTACTTAGAAGCTTCTTTATTATTTAAATGTATGCTAATAATTTTTAAAACGGAACACCACTAAAACTTTACTAATTGCAAGAAGTGTCCATTTTTACATATATGCAACATAAAATGTAATGAATGAAAGTCGCCAATGTTAGAATGTAAAGAAATGTGTTAATTCAATCAACGGTGTCTGGGATTTAAGTATGCAAGTGTGTCTGAGTTTTTGTTTGCGAATTGGTTTTTACAATCGCAGAAGATATATTATATTATGACAAATTCTTAATTCTATGAACTACTTAAATATTTATTAGAACTAGCAATTTTATAGACAGTATTGAGCACATGACCGTATTATTTAGAACAGAGTATTAAAAAGGGTCTTGACAGACGGACGGACAACAAAGTGATACTATAAGGGTTTCGTTTTTTTATTATTAAGTACGGAACCCTAAAAATGTATATTTTACTCTACCACATCGTCCAAGTTAATGTAAAATAACTTAAAAATTATAACATCGAAACCCGACATTGGTAATGTAGCTTAATTATTAAATAAAAGAAGATATACTGTGTACAAAAGAATTGATAAATACTTAATTTAATTGTCTTCTTTTAAATATAAAACAAAAGCGTTAAGAAAAATTCATTAGTAAATATGAAAAGAATTCCCAGTATTTATGACGTAGCGCGTTTAACGGACAGACGGAGAGGGAATGGTGGTGTGCTAGCTTCAATGACCTGATTAGTACCAATGGTTCCGGCAAATTGCCTCTTACAAAGCATGGATGATTAACGGTGTAAATAACAGTATGGTAACCCTAACTATCGATGTCGATTACATTACAAGCTGTTTAGAGTTTTAAATTTACGCATACAGTTTACTGATTTGCGTGGTTTGGATAAACGATTTCGTTGTTAATACAACGAACCGAGGAACATCTTAATTTATGTTCTTTTATAAACATGCTTATATTATAAATCCGAAAGGTTAGGTGGATGGATGTTTTTTAGAAGGTACGGTCAGACGGCTGTATGGATCACTCTGATATTTGACATGGATGTAGAACACAGAGGCTACTATTTTTTCTTTATATCGCGCGAACGGTGTCGTGGAAGACAACTAGTGTTTAGTAATGAAGTAACTAAGAAATAAAAAAATAAGAAAAATGTTACTACATGATTGTGATGAGACAGTAAAATTTGAAATAATCTTTGTTCTGATGTACGATTGTCAAGAAGTAGACTAACGTTTTGATGTACGCTGTAATTAAAAAACATTACAAAAGTGGGTTAACCGTAAATAAAAACTAATTAGCTCAGTGTCTCGTTACGCGCATCTTTCACGCAGTCTACACAGACGTAAAGTGTAACATACCGCAGTTAGAGAATTAGAGTCCGGGTAATGGCAGACGTAATTACTAAGCTATGATTAGATACATATCTATCCAACGCCAAAATTAGCAAGCGTATGTTAAACACGATATGAAAATTTACCGCAATCTGTTTGATATGTTTAGTTTACATTGTAGGTCTGTAGATTCTTTTTCCCTTTTGTATAACTTAAGTTGTTAATAACATTAACAAATCTGATTTAACTTTTTTTAATTTTACGGAAATTTTTAAATTATTTTAAGTAAAATATTATTGACGTTCGATTCTTTCAACAACCCACCGAGGGGCTCGGAGCCTAAACTAAGTGATGGGTGACTAGGCCATAGTCAACGCAGGCCAAGTGCGGATTGGTTGACTTCACACATATCTTTGATTTTTTTCTCAGATATGTGCAGGTTGCATCACGATGTTTTCCTTCACCGTAAGAACGTCGGATAAATGTACATATGTAAATCGGAAATCGAAAAACACATTGGTACTTGGCGGGATTCGAACCAAGGATCTCCAGATAGCAAGTCAAGTGCTTGACCCCTGAGCCAATGATGCTCGTTGCTCGTTCGCTTGAAGATCCATCAATTAAGTACATACTTCGATCAATTGTAGTTGATCATTTTGACAAATAAAGCTATTTGAGATAAACTTTATACATTTTACAGTTTGCTTAAAGTAATTTATCCAAAAAGTCCCTTATTGAAGGCAATCAATCAAGATAATGGAAACTAATGAACTCACGTCTACTTCGTAATTCTTTAAATTTTACAATACAAATGATTTCGTAATAGAACTTGAATAATCCAATTTCAACTTTAAATACATGTTAAGTGGGTACAAAAACGTTTGATACTTGTTCTCAGAATCAAAATATATTAGCGGGATCCCTTTTGCACTTCAATTGAGGTTCTTTATAATGTTATTATCGTATTTATGTCAATCAAATGCTAAAACATCGTGAGTTTTCTTTAATCAATTTAGTAATATAACTGACAATGTGAAATAAATCTTTCTTACTTTGTTTTACGAAATACTTGTAGTTAATTATACAATGCGATAGAATAATCGTTTATTATATCTATTATAAATAAGTTTCATTTACATTTTCCTGCATTAATTTTAAATTACAATTTTACATTTAAGTTTGATTTATATAACCATTTATGTATTATTATCTTGTTAATATTATAAATGCAAATGTTTAGATCGATGGATAGATTGATATTTGTTTGAAGGGATCTCCAGAACGACTGAATGGGTGTTGCTGAAATTTAACAATATAGAGCATAGACTGGCAGAACATACATACATATAGGCTACTAAAAATGTTTTTTTTAATTCCGCGGGAACGGATTCAGGGGCGACAGCTACTGTATATATATGATTAGAAATTAATTAATGTTTGTGCCTCAATAAAGTTCAACTATTGCCCTGTAACTAGGGTTTATAGTTACTGTGGATTAGCATAAACTGTTATAACCATAGGTTATTTAATAATATGTTAATGACTTGTTAAAATAACATAACGGCTTAAACCTACAATGTATTTCATCATCAACCTGCCCTTATCCCTGTTGGGGGTCGGCACAGTATGTACTACTCCTCCATACATCCCTATCAGCCGTCATATCTAAACTTACCTTTTTATATCATAAGGTGGCAAACGAGCGAGCGATTAGCTTCATGTCCGTTACAATATACAATTGTTCGTATATATATAATAGTTACAAATCGTCAATTACTAATAAATTAAATGTTAAGGATTACTTGATTAAATTGCAATTTAGCAAATAATCTAGACGCATTTGTTAAATAGTCTCCGAGAGCGCTACATCCGCATTTTGACACTTCTTTCTTCTACTTCGCTAACTGTCACGATTGTTTACTACAATCACAAAACAATAGCTCAAAGAAGGCCAGATGAAGGAGGTTCTTAAAGTATAAGATTGTGTATTTCTATCCGTATATGTTTATGAAAATATATACATTTTAAATCAGCATTTAGAGTTGGTAGATCGTAATTTTATCCCCTTTTAAGGGATGTTTATTACATTGATTCTTCTGTATTGATTTGATTATGTCTACACATTCAAGTTTAATATGCGGTAACTGCGGTTGACCGCAGATAGATGTAAATACTCAGTTGATATGAATGTATTATCTTGTTTTCCACTACCGAAACACCTGCATAAAGATATACCTATCCTTCTTACTCTCTTTGAAAAAATAAGAGATAACAACATGTTATGTTATATGTTATAAAAAAGTTTATTAATTATCCGCCGTTGCCCGCGACTCCGTCCACGCCAATTTTGTAAAATTCTTAATTAGTAGCCTATGTGTTCTTCTAGACAATGTTCTACAACTATGCCAAATTTCATCAAGATCCATTCAGCCGTTCTGGAGATACTTTAAAACAAACATCCATCCATCCTTGCATTGAACAATCGCATTAATACTGTTATTAAGAAGGAAACGATACAATATTTTTTTTGCTAAAGATTTATGTCAAGGTAATATTATGTCCCTAAATTTTATGAACATTAACGTGTAAGAATTTCA